TATACACACATATATATATAAAATAATCACAGTAAAAACTGCATACTGGCAATTTTACAATCCGTAGTTTCATTGGTATATCTATCATGTACATGCCCTTTTCATCTTGTTTCTCTATACAAAAAATATATTTTTGCCTTCTTCATTCCTGATGAGATTTTTCTGCGATCACTTTACATTCATACTGCAAAATTAAAAAGGTTAAAAAATTAACATATAAAGGTTTATTTTGAAAAGCAATTTAAACTTAAAAGATCTAAAAATTAATTCTTTATTAATCTATGCACATTTTATTACTCAAAGAATCTCAGAGTTAGACAACTATTAGGATTAAATGACAAATGTGATAGGGGGGAAAACTTCACATTCTAGAAGTGGAGGCATAGACAAAAGCAGGGGAAAGGTGAGGTTTTCATATTACAAGCAAATAATGACAATATATGATTCAGATGAGTCCTAGAATATGAAAGAAAGCAAAATAGGTTTCTTTGAGTGCTCAGTAAGGTGAATCAGCAAAAGGAAGGTCATGAACTTAAGGACTGGACTGACACTTTTGACAGTGAATTAAGGTAATATTTTTTTCAAATCACTTTACAATTTAAAGGAAAAAATCTATTACATTAGCAAAAGCTTCTAGTCAAAACAATATTTTAAAAGTACAACTATAAACATGTACCCACAAGTCAAAATAAAGGAAACCAATGCACTTAGAAAAATTGGGTAGATTATCAAAAAGATAGCAACACAAACCACTCGATTCTCCTACTGATTAAAGTGGCAACCATTTGGTGAAACTGGTATGACCTGTGAATGTTACTCCCGGACCCTTGCCACCTATAACTGGGGTTATCAACAATGTCCCTTCGTTCTCAACTAAAATGGTCAAACATCTTGATTTGCTGAAGCTAATTCTAATTTATGTCATTGTAGCAATGTGGTTATTAATAGAACCTCCTTTCACTGTTAAAATTGTTCCTTTTTGAAAAGTAAACCTACAAATTAATTTACAAAAAGGGTGGAAGATAAATCAGATCACCCTATCCATAACACATTTTAGCTTTCCTATCCATGGTTGCTTCAACTTTTAATATACTTGTGATTAAATTCTTCCAAATGATTTATTTCAATGGAATCGCAGAGAGAAATCAAAGAATGCTGTCCTCACAAATTGCTTTCCCTTAAAAAAGGACTGTCATTTGGAGAAAACTTGTCTTACATCTCAATAACACAAAAGTGATTAAATAAGCATCAGCTTACCATTGCCAGTTGTCGACCAATATTTCCCATTGTTATGCCTCCAGCAAAAAATATACATGGTAACCAAGAGCGAACATAGAGAAAATCTGGAGAAGTATATCTAGAATAATAGAAATGTTTTTAACGGTAAAATACTTATTTAAATCATTACAATAGAAATAAGTTGCTCTTCAGATTAACATGGCTAACCCAATTTTAAAATCTCAATCTGAATTCAGCTATCATTTATCTATTTTAGCAAACAAGCACCAAAAAGAATACTTACTGATAAACACCATTATAGACTAGCAGTTGAGTGACCAAGGTTGCCAAGAAAGCAATTCCTACTCCAAGGCCAAAACCAGTTCGAGATCTATCAAAAGTCCACCACAGTCCAATGGAGAGTGCAGCCAGTGTGAGAGACAACTGTACGTTGTTATCAAAGTCCACTTTCTGAGGTCAGTGTTAAAGAGTCATCTTAAAACTTATAACCAAATAATATCATCTGTTCATTTTTCTAAAATCAGACATGCTACTATTAAAAGGGGAATTAATTGCTTATTCTACAGTGCATTCAGACACAGAGGGCATGATATTTCAATAGATACTACCAACCTGTAATTCCTAAGAAAACAAAGACAAAACACTTTATATACGTTCCCAATTATAAGATCGGACCCATTATATGAGAACTGCTTTCTTTGCTAAAAATGTTAACGGGTGGACTCAGAACACAAGATTTACTACAGAAACACACTTTTAATAAAAAGAAAACCAATATTACTTCTCAAACAAGTTGAGAGTTAGTTGAGAATCATACAGGAACTCGAAAATAGAAGAGCTGACAGCTATTTAACAGGGTGCACATTCTCTATATGATTTACTGGCAGACACATTTTATAATAATGCAGTTCAGAAACAAGAGTACCAAGGACACAGTATCCCTTTCTATTATGTCAACTGTTCTAGTTTTAATTTGTTGAGGATAAAGCCTTGAAGCGAATATTATCTTGCAACCTGCCAAGCTATTTTGGTGCCTGGGACATTCTGGCATAGGACAGTTAGCACAAACGATATTTTATTTCCATCACCTACTTAAGCGTCAATTCACAAATGTGCAGCCCTTTTCTATTCTAAAATCTCTGAGCAAAACGCAGCTTTACACATTCAATTTTCCCATTTCTTTGCTGGAGGATTACACTAAAGGAATTAATTTCAAGTATTATTAAAAGGACATTATCTATGTCCCAAAGGCCACATCTTGGCTCTATATCCAGCTCCCCGGGGGAGACTACAAATCTCGCCAAACTGGCCATGCTGCAACTGGAGAGAAGAAAGCAGAATTTCAAAAGAGGGATCCGAAACCATTTCCTACTTCCTTTAACACCCTGCTATTCACCTCTCCACACACCCCCTCCCAACCAGCTGGTACCCTGAGCACAGTGTGCTTACTTCTCAGCTGTCAGGGGCCTCTCCTTCGAGGTCACTCCCTGCTGAGGCTAGATTTATCAAGAAACCTCCAGGTTACCAGTATGCTTTCTGAAAAAGTTTTGCTTATTCTTTAGCAGACATAATGCCTCAAACTCCATGAAGGAAGCTTGTGAGCTCTGATTTCTCTATGCAAAAACATTCTTGTAAAGAGTAGATTTTGACATTGAGTTCTGTCTTGCTAACTAAATTAACTTCATTAAGAACTAAGCAAAATAAGGAGGCTTCTATGGTAAACAGGTAAAACATCAACCTTAAAAACAGTACCATGAGATTTTATGAAGTCAAATTAATTTAAGTCTATGCTATAAATATGTAAACACTTTATGTTTGGATTAAAGGAGGTCCAGCTAAGACTGCCATACTTAAGTATTTGATTGAGAAAGAAAAGAAAGACCAAAGCAAAGAATTTAAATTAGATATATAAACATTTTTAAATTCTAGGAAAAGGCTATTTAAATTTTTCAACTTAAAATAGTTGAACTGTCTGAGATGAAAAGGTCTAGTCCACTGTATAGAGAGCATTTACACACTGGAGGAGCTCCTGACAGGAGAATGAACATCCCCAGATTGGAATCAGGATCTCTGGGGTCTGGTCTCAGCTGTAGCCCAGCCTTACAGTATGGAAGACTTGGCAAAGCACCTAACCTCCCAGCTTTCATCTGTATTATCTTAATAAAGGAAATGTGGAACTAGGTGATTTCTAAGTTTTTTTCTAGATACAATATTCCATGAGTCTATCTTTTTAAGTCTTTCTAATCATTAGGTTTGTTTGTTATAAAATCCTAAATATCAAAAATTTTCCCCAAACTAAAAATGTTGGGAAATTTTTTAATATAAAAGGAAATGGAAAACCAACATAATAACAGCCACTGAGAGCCTTCCAAATCCACAGATCTCCAAGGGCCAGCACACTGGGAACAGAACGGCAGATGTGATGTGTTTTTAGCATACGGGACCCTGCTCTTTTCTTGGTTCCTCTTCCCAAGCTTCTCCAAAACACAATACTTTCTGTAAAAGGCATAGCAATCTAGCTGCCACATGACCCACCTTCTCTCCAACCAACTACCAGCCCTGAGCCCAATGCAGTTACAAGAGGAAATGGTGGGCAGCCTGAGTCACACTTCCTGCTCTTCCCAATACCACAGGCTCCACCACAACCATTCTGTAAGCAACATCTCCTAGAAGAGGGAAGACTGAACTAGCATTCCCCAGATCCTCTTGTACAAAGGAAAGTTGGGGTAGGGAGAAGAAGTAGGAAGGATGACAGAATGAAAGCCTTATGAGGGCAAAAACTTTTTCTCTGGGGGTAGACATTTTTTTCTGAGAGGTAGAAGGGAAGAAGGGAAATAGAAGCTATTTGTCCTTCTAGCTAGGACACTATAAAAATGATCATTAATCACTAAATAAAATGTCAGAATTCTTAAATGATCAAACTGTAAAAATATGTCCCTGGCCTGGCTGGATGGCTCAATTGGTTGGAGTGTCATCCCATACACCAAAAGGTTGCAGGTTCAATTCCAGTCAGGTCACAAACCTAGGTTGTGGGCTTGATCCCTGGTCCAGGCATGCATGGGAGGCAGCCAATCGATGTTACTCTCTCACATTGAGGTTCCTCGCTCTCTCTCTCCCTTCCTCTCTCTTTAAATCAATAAACATATCCTCAGGTGAGGACTAAGGAAAGAAAAAAATACACACACACACACATACACATACACACACACACACACACACACACACACACACACACACCCTAAGGAAAAAAGTTCTTTTTGACCATGGTCTAAGCTAGATATTTCTATTATGCCACCTTTAAGAACATTTATGTGGTTTGCTGGTGTTGATCAAAACCAATAAATAACAATCTTTTTTTTAAAATTATAGGTTCTTGAAATTAAAAACAAAACAAAACAAAAAAACCAGCACCTGAAGCCACCACAAGTCTTTACTGCCAAACCTTAAATGAAAAAAGAGGAAAGGAATCTTTTGAAAATTTACCTGTTTCAATCCTAGATTAACCAAAACTATATGTAAATAATTTAGTAACCTAACTTAAGAAAAACATGTAAATGTTTTAAACATGCAAATTTTCTAAGTTATATGGAAAGAATGGGATTTAAATGAAAGGCTAAATCCCACACATATAGATGCTACTGTGATGTTTTGAGAATACAAAGCACATTCTTTTTATGACTCAGTGGGCATATCACCATTTGACAACAGTGAGGTTGCAAGGGGCCCTTAACCTTTGGTTTGTCGGGAGCTGCTTTGTTATTATGCATTTCATTACAGCAAAAAGGATACAGCGCTGGCATGATTTATACCGACAAAGACGGCTACGCACCGCATTACACTGGACCACTCTCTTTTAAATTTATGGGGTTCTCCTAGATGCCTGTCAATGCAGGGGTATAATAACCCAATCACCGCTGCAGAAAAAAAGAGAAAAATTATGTTATCTCCAATGTGATACTGGCGAAACTTAAGCTAAGAGTCACTACAACCACCATAAGGATTTGAAAGATTCTTTAAAAAAGCTCTTCAAGTTACTTAATGTCAATTGCTGATATTTTAAACTTACCTCCCCAAAGAAAAATAAATGAGAACACCACTGAAGCATTATAAATGATTGCAACAGTATACTAAATTATAATAGACAAAACACTACTTCAGGCTATGATTCACAATTTAGCAGAATGGACTAGATGATTCATGCTACTTTTCTAATACTAATGTCTCTGAGACTTGACAAGCATCAAATCAGTTGGCAGCTAAGCAATGTTCTCTCTAAGCTATATTACCATGAAACATTCTACTAAATGCCACAAATCTACAGAGTAGGTAGGAACTAACCACATACAACAAGCTCACCATACACACAATATTCTGATGGCTAATGGCTCACCTGTTCCATAGATCACCTTTGCCCCTCTAGCTTCTTGTCTCAGTCTCCTGCATCTAGCCCTTGATCTGACACTCCCTTCCACCCTGGCCCTCTAATGAGATTCTAGGTCGTATTGTCAAAGCAGAATAACTCACAACAGAAATCTACATATAAGACTCATTCTGCACATAAGAAAAATGAAGAAAACATGGTCTATAAGAATTACGTATTTTTGTTAAAATTTGTAATTTAAATTCATTACTAAAATATAAGATATCATTTCAGTACACATCTTTTATAAAGACATCCTTGACTGCTAACTGTATAATTAGTTATAAATAAATATATGTAAAATGTCCATAATTGAGTATCAAAATACTGTCACACAATTTTTAACTTACTTGTCAAACCTCAACTTTTTATTCATTTAGTTGAAGATTTGAAATGCTTAATCATTTAAAAAAAGACTTTTTAATGAACCCAAACTTTCTTTAACAAGTTATAAGGAAAATGTATTTCCACCGATTAAAGTTAGCAAAGCAAAACTGCTAGCTATTTCCTGTTAATCTTCCTAAAAACAGGATGCTTATGCTCACTAGGAAACAAAGACACAACTGTCACATCAGTTGAAAAGCATGTTTAAAATGTCTCATACTACCTATGGCTTAGCATGAAACTATTGTCCCAAAATCTGAGTCCTCGAGGGTCAGAAGCTCTCCCTGGCCTGATGCTGGCTACCTATACCTCACAAAAGATGCATTCGATCTTCAAGGAAAATGGAAATCAATTAGTATCAAAACTCACAAGCCAGCAGAGCAGTGGCGCAGCATAAAGAAGAGGCTGCAATAATGTATGCATTTTCTAACCCACAAAACACTTGAAGGTGCTCTTTTGAGTTAGACCTTTGCTAAATATAGATGGTTCATAGACCATCAACAGATTAGCAACAAACTTCAGTAATGCAGAGGTGCAAAAACTGCTAGTAAATTTAGAAGTTTTACATTATAACTGGTCCTTGAATAATGTCACTTCATTCACTGTCATTTCACTATAACATTATAGGAGCTTAAACTCTTGTTTATATCAATTAGCCTATATTAGACTGAGTTTTGTTGTCTGTCATTTCAATTAAAGTTGCAGAACCTATGAGGACTTCAAGTGAGAACTTACTATATATTCCTATTTAAAAGGCCAGGCTCTAAAATCCTGTAAAATTAACTGACAGCATTTTCAAATTTCTACAAAATTAAAATGGCAACAAGCATGCCTAAGAGTTGAAATGTATCTAAATGAATATTACCTCTTTTTTTTTTCCTTAAGGGGTCATGAAACAGCTCCGATGTCAATCCTCACTCTCATTCTTGCTCTTTCTCCTCCCTTTGCCTATTGCTAAGTGAAATCAACTAAGATTAGGCATTCCAAGTCAATTTTCCTCAGCAGCTGATGCCATAGGTAAAGAATTATCACATAGAGAAGACCAATGTGTATGCAAAGATATAAATAAGTAAACAGACTATATTTTTATGCATGTGATGTCAGACTCACAAGTGAGAGAGAACTAAGGAGAGAGCAAAAACACAAAAGGAATTTAAACCACCATGCTGCCAACCTTGGGATCTGGCAGTAAAAATCAAATCCATTGAGTATGCATGGTTTTCCATTGCTCACTGAGAGGGAAAATTCAAGGAAGCTTGTCACTTCCCATTACATATCTTCTTTCTTCCCTTTAAATAAAGGCATGGCAGAGTCTGATAGCGATGTCTACAGCACAGTGAAGCTCACTGTGTAAGAGCTCAGCAAAGGTAGGTCTGGTCTTCTTATCCTCTTTCTCCACTTTATTTCAACAAGAAAGACTATTTTATAAGTATGCCTGTGTAAAATCATAGGCAAACAAGTCCTGGTAAACCAGATGGTTCTCTGATGCAAAACCTTATTTCTTGGGATAGTGGCATACCTCATTGTATTGCACTTTGCTTTACTGAGCTTTGCAGATTTATTTTTCCAATTGAAGGTAAGACCCTCCACGAGCAAAAAGATTACAACTCACTGCAAGCAATGATGATGGTTAGCATTTTTTAGCAATAAAGTATTTTTAATTAAGATATGTATATTGTCATTTTAGATATAATGCTGTTATACACTTAATAGACTAATGTATAACGTAAACATAATTTTTATATGGACTGGGAAACCCAAAAATTGATGTAACTTGCTTTATTGCAATATTTGCTTTATTTTGGTAATTTGGAACCAAACCTGCAAATCTCCAATGTATGTCTGTATATTTATTTCCCAGTGACCAGTTATAGCCTATCAAGACTATAAACAAAAAGAGTTTGTAAAACACCAATATTATCATCACTTTTACATGGTAAGGTGTTTAATGCATTGATACACTAAAAGGAATAGCTAAATCAAACATTTTTCAAAGAAAAGGGGCTAAAAAAACAAAACCACTGAATGAGATATACTTTCATGGAAAAGTATTATAGGATAGGCAATGTTTTCATGCAACAAATAAGCTCCTACACTGTTTCTGGTTCTTGGTATTTGCTGGGGATTTAAAAAGAAAAAAAGAAAAAGAGGAGAACCAAGATGGCAGTGTAGATAAACACCTGTGCTCTCCGCCTCCCACAACCACATCAAAATTACAACTAAAATACAGTACAACAATCACTCAGAACTGCCTGAAACATGGCTGAGTAGAAGTCCTGCAACTAGAGAAGTGAAGAAAGCACATTGAGACTGGTAGGAGGGGCAGAGGCAGAGAATAGGTTGGTCCGACACCCAAATGTGGAGTTTTTTAATCGGGAGGGATATCTCAAAGGCCTCCCATGAGAAGCAGGGGGTCCCAGCCACAAACCAGACCCATCCCAGGGTTCCAGAGCTGGGAAGAGAAGTCCCCATAACTTCGAGCTATAAAAACCAGCGGGGATTATGGCTGAGTGACATGGAGGCTGCTGGAGTCACAGTTGTTCCTCTTAAAGGGCCCACACATAAACCTACACGGTCTCACTTCCTCTGAGCTCCAGTGCCAGGTGGCGGCATTGGGGGAAATCCAGGGACATCCGGGGAAGAACTAGACTGTCTGATGTAGGGGCAGGAATTCAGGGGTGGCTTTCTCCCAGACAGGGGTGCTTACAGGGATCATTGTTCCTGTGCTGGGACCTCCCCATTGCAGAGCTGACTGGCAGCCATATCTGAGCTTCCATCAGTATGACCCACACTGTTCCCTCTGCCCTGGTGATTCCCTGAGATGCCGCCCTATCCAATTTACAGCCCCACCCAAGCTGTTTGCAGCTGCTTTTCCATATGAATGGCCTGTCCTAGCTCAAGCTTCAGACTTTGCTAAAATCTCTTAAACAAGCAGCAGCTGGAGTCAACATGTCCCAAACCAATCAATAAAAGGCCCAATACTTGGCTCCAGCACCAGCCTGCCTTGTGTCACAGCTGAGCATCATCTGGGCACTTTCTAGCCCAATACAAGTAGCACCCATCTGTAGAGCTCTCTGTAGCTCCTGATGGGTGGCCCCAGGTATTGGCTGGCTTTGCAACTCCCAGGAGGCCCCTGAGCCAGTGCACCCGGTGGACAGCTTCAGACCATACCAGATTACAACTCTACACATTCACAAGTGACACACTCAAGGGGCAGACTAGTGAGCACCAAAGCCCTACTGAAGCAAGTTCTGCTCCACAGGGGGTGTCTCCTGCACAGCAACTTGGCCTGAGATCAATTCCTCCCAGTGAGCCAACAGCAATCAAGGCTCAACTACAAGACTTTGCACACAGCCCACACAAGGGCACAACTAGAGTGCCTAACTCAGGTGACTGGGGAGACTGAGCCACTGGGCCCTACAGGACACCTAATACACAAGGCCTCTCTACCAATTCCAGAAGACATAACTGCTCTACCTAATATATAGAAACAAATACAGGAAAGCAGCCAAAATGTGGAGACAAAGAAACATGTTACAAATGAAAGAAATGGAAGCAAGCAAACTACTGAATACAGAGTTCAAAACAATGGTTATAAGGTTACTCAAGGATCTTAATGAGAGTTTCAAGGGACTTAATGAGAGCTTCAAGGGAATTAATGAGCACATCAAGGGACTTAGTGAGACTTTCAAGGATCTTAGTGAGAATGTCAAAGACATGAAAAAGTACGAAACAGAAATTAAGCATACATTAACTAAAATAAAGAATTCTGCCCTAACCGGTTTGGCTCAGTGGATAGAGCGTCAGCCTGCAGACTGAAAGGTCCCGGGTTCGATTCTGGCCAAGGGCATGTACCTTGGTTTCGGGCACATCCCCAGTAGGAGGTGTGCAAGAGGCAGCTGATTGATGTTTCTCTCCCATCGATGTTTCTAACTCTCAATCCTTCTCCCTTCCTCTCTGTAAAAAATCAACAAAATATATTTTTTTAAAAAATAAAATAAAATAAAGAATTCTTGCATAGGAATTCAACAGTAGAAATGAGGGTTCTGAAAAGCAAATCAACAATTTGGAATATGAAGAAGAAAAAAAAACATCCAATCAGAAGCAGAA